GCCCGATCCGAACCTCCCCTCTTCTCCCTCCCTCCTTCAGCCTGCTCAGCCTCTCAGGGAACAACCTCCTTCCCCGGTACCGGCCCCTCCCACCTCACAAGGAGAACGTGGCCACTCTCGGCCGAGCCGCTCCTCCAGACGCCGGTCCCGATCCTCCTCCTCCTCGCACTCTCGGTCCCGGTCCCGCACTCCTCCCTCCAAACGCCCGCGCGGACGCGATCCGCGCGAGCGCGATCCACGCTTTCCTTACCATTATGACTATCCCTTTCCCCTCTCTCCCCCCCCCTTTCCTTACTACCCTTACTATCAAGGGGAATACTCGAGGGACCATACTCCTCCTCCTCATCCCTATCCTCATTCCTACCCCCCCCCCTTCCGCCACTGTTTCCAGGCCCCCTCCTGAACCTCCCGTCCTTCAACACCAGGGGGCAGCACCCCCGGATCCTACTACCCCTCAGCAGGATCCTCAACCTGACCCAGAAATTGTGGATGTCGAATCTTCTAGTGATTCGCCTCCCACTCCTGTGCTTCAATCTGAGCCAGATCCAGACCCCCTACAAGCGGAAGAGTTTAAAAACTTTTCTGCTCTACTAATCAGACTTTCCAGGTCACTTAATCTGGCCGTTCCCCAGCCCACTAAGGCTGTGGATGACCCTTGTTTCACCTCATCTGAACAACAGCGTCCCATGTCAACCATATTACCCACGTTACCTTACCTTCTAGAAGTCCTAAAAACAGAAGGTGTTTCTCCAGCCCTGGTTCCAGCTACACCAAAGCGAGCTGAGAATCTTTATCGCATTGACCTCACGGCAGCTTCATAGCTTGCTAAACTGCCTAGAGCCAATTCAGTTGTTACAGACGCCCAACCCAAACCAGTTCAGAGAAACCAGGCTTCTCCCTCAGACAAAGAAGGAAAGAAACTGGATGCCATGGCAAAAAAGTTTTATTCCTCTGCCTGCCTGTTTGCCAGAATAGCACATTATGGCGTTTACATGAGTGTATATCAAACGTTCCTCTGGAACAAAATCTCACCTTATCTT